TTTCTGCCCTGCCATCAACTGCTGTAGGGACTAAGTCCTGTTTTCAGTTGTTCCTGGGAACCTCTGGAGCATTCTTCCTGCTTCCTGCTTCCTGCTTCCTGCTTTCCACTTCCCGCTTCCCGCTTCCTGCTTCCTGCTTCCTGCTTCCTGCTTCCTTCTTCCTTCTTCCTTCTTTTTTGAACACTTCTTTCATTTTCTTCCTTCTCTCTGCTGCTAAAATGTTTTCTTCTTCTCTCTTCATTCCTGTTCTTCTTTTTTCCTTCCATCTTTCTTCCTTTGCTCTGTCTTGATAGCCTCTTTTTTCTCTCTTTTATGCTGTCCCTCTTCTTCCCCTCCCATCCCCTCTTTTCTTCTCTCTCTTTTTGAGATGGAGTCTTGTTGTGTTGCCCAGACTGGTCTCAAATCCCTGGGTTTGGAAAGAAGGGGAAATTATATAAGTATGTATATACAGGATGACTAACACAGTTGTACTACTGTCTTCTGTTGCAGGAAGGAACACTTAATGATTACTTATTTGATCAATGTTGCGTGTCTCTATTTGTCTTCTTGAGAAACCACTTTGAAGATATCAATAAGTAATACAACAACCACTATTAATGTCCTACAACTTTGTAACTCTGTTTTGTTTGTATTGTTCTTATGCTATTTTGTAAATGGATGTCTGTTTGTTAATATGTTTTCCTTCTTTTATTTTTTAAAAGAAAATATTCCTGGGTTCAAGAGATGCTCCTGCCTCCGCCTCCCAAGTAGCTGTGACTACAAGTTCATGCTACTATTCCTGGCTGTTGGTTGTTGTTAGTATTGTTGTTGTTGTTTTGAAATAGGGTCTTGCTACATAGTAAGGGCTGGCCTTGAACTCACAGCAACCCACTTCCTCAGCCTCCCTAGTGCTGGGATGACAGGTGTGCACCATCATGCCTGGCAATTTATTTTTAAATCGAAGCCATAATCCTATTTCTTACAACGGCTGACATTAGAATGGGCTCGACATATGTCCCAACTCCTCCACATATGAAAACTCACCCTGCCTCAATTGATTCTCTATAAATGCCATTATCATCCCCATTTTACAGACTTTTCCAGGTAACATTCATACCAATTAGACAGCCTGGCGGCCCCACCAGGTAAAGTTCCCTGTGTGGGGGGAATTAGCATTGCTCCAGCCACTGACGCCCTCGGCATTTCCACAGCTGATGCTGTGGTCACTGCAGCTGAAATGCAGGTGAGGGGCCCAGGAGCTCCTCAGCACGGTGCTCACCTTTGGGGAGTGGATGCTTCACTTATCCTTGCTTGGCAGTGATCTCTGTGGTGGGGGTTCACAGAGGGGTCCCCAGCACAATGGCCTTGCATGGATGGGGTCACCTCTCTGTGCCTCTGTTTCGCCATGTGTGGGAAGAGCCAGGTACCCACACCTACCACTTTCTCATTGCTGGGAGGACAGAATGAACGAACCCAGGGCCCCCGCTGTGAGCAGCACCTGGTCCAGAGCAGGGCTTCATGACGCTCCGCACTGTGTTGGGGCTGTGCTCGTTCAGCCCCAGCCTCGCACTGGGTGCAGCTTTTCCTGCATGGATCCGTCTAGGAGGACGATTCCAGGCCTTCCCAGCGGAAGCGCTCCCTGAAGACAGTGCGTCTGAGCCCTCGGTGCTCAGTGCTGATGTTATTGTCCCCCGCTCAGATGTCCTTGGGAGGGGATGGGAACACTTAACAAGAATGGGACATGGTGACACTCGGGGTTGCATTCGAGGAGCCCTCCAGATTCCAAGCTCTTTTTTTGTTTTTTTTGGTTTTTTTCTCCGGTACCGGAAACCGAACTCACGACCTTGTGCTTGCCAGGCAGGCGCTTTTGCCGCTGAGCTAAATCCCCAGCCCCCAGATTCCAAGCTCTTGACTGGCAGCCTCCCTTCCCGACTGGCCGGTCTGCTGGCCTTGCCACTGTGCCTGCTGCCCCATCTCTTCCCTGTCCCTCACTTCCTCCCTCCAGAGATGAGCAGCAGCCCTAACTTCTGCTGTGAGGCTTTTCATCCCAAGATCATTATGCCACAGTCTTGTGATTCACCAGTGTGACCCACAAAATCATTCTCTGCGACTTCCTCTCCTGATTCATCCTGTGCTCCCTCCCACTAACAACATAAAGAAGTAGAGACCTTCTTGCGGGGCTTGGTGACTTACACAGAGGAGAAGCCAGCAACTGCCTCGGGACACAGCAGTGAGGAGTAAATGGATTAACACATTCACAACTGGCCGTATGTCTCCAACCCCCCGGTGGTGTGTGTATCAGTGTCCCATGTATGGCTGTACCACTCGTCTTACCTGTGCAAGCTGTTGATGGGACAGTCATGCAGGTACTCCTGGTGGTGCAAGTCAGTGGGAATATGTTAACCCATACTAACACTTAGAGTAGGACTGTGCTCGAAGTCAGGGAGTATGTGCTGGGGACCACTGTCACCATAAGGATCAGCATCACTGTTTTGGTGTCTGTATCAGTTATCTTCGAGGAACAAAACCCCACTTCTTTCTGCCTTCCCACTTCCTCAGCTTGCAGTGTGGCCTTGAGGTCTCCAGCCACTGGGGACCACCTCCCTGGAGGACACAACAGCAGGACACAGGGTCTGGTCCAGTGTCAGTGAGAACATTGTAAGTTTCTGCCTGGTTCGAACCACGAGCCTTTAGGGGGTACCGCAGCAGTGGACCGTGTAGATCTCTAACTGTGTACAATCAGCCATCTGCATCTGTAGGTTCCACATACATGTGGGTTCAACCAACTGGGGATCGAAAATATTTGGGGAAAAACTGCCTCTGTATAGAACATGTGCAGATTCTTCTCCTTGTCCTTATTTCCTAAACAATATAGTAGAATAGCACGTAGCATTTCCACTGCACTAGGTATCTAGAGACGTGAAGTATATGGGAACCTGTGTTAGGTTAGATTACAAACATGACAGTTTTCTACAAGGGGCTCAAGCATTCTCAGATTTTGGATCTGAGAGAGCCCTGGAACAAGTCCCCTGCCTTCCAAGGGGTGACTGGATAGGCTTTTTGAGGTAAGATAAAAGAAATAAAGATAAGTAGAAAAAAGACAAGGAAAATCATAATTGTAAAATTATATGGTATCACTGTACTTTTAAGAAAAATTGCAGGCAACCCATTTGGGACCCCTCCTGTCTGTCAGGAGCTATTCCTATTCCCCAATAAATTTTCCTACTCTTAAGCTCCACTGCTCCTTGGAATTCATTCTTTGACTGAAGGGAATGCGAACTCAGTGTATCTGACATCTAGCATTTCCCCAATATCAATTAGAAAGTAGAAGGGACACTATTATTAGACAAGAGGAAGGGACTGAGAGGGATGGGAGGGGGTTAGAGTTAGGCAATAGAGGGCTGAATATGGATATTGTACACATCAAGATCTCCCCTAAAAGTGTAAAACTAGGGGAGAGAGCAGAAAAGGTGAAAATGATCAAAGTATGTCAATTGCATGCATTAGACCAAAATAAAACTCATTAATCTGTATAACCAATAAAAAAGAGTGCAAAAGAGAATACAAGATTTAAAAAAAAAAAAAAATTGCAGCTTCAGGAAACAAAACTACCCAAGGTTCCTATGCTTTTGTTTCTCCCCGCTCCCAGAAAACTCACTCCCCAAATTCCTGAGTCTGAGACGCAGGGAACCTGTGAACTGGGCTCAAGCGTTTTACTTATATCAGCTGAGTCTATGGTTTCCCTCCAATACTCAGGATTCAAATTCACGCTCCACAGAACTCCTCCCTCACGGAAACAGAACCACTAATTGGTTGCCCCATCACTAAACTTCAAACAGGCACAAAGGATTTGCATTCCACAACAGCTGGCTCAACACAGCCTAGCTCCTCCGTGTTTAGTTCACACCCAAGGCCACAGAGAAATGCCCGGCCCCAGACCACAATGCACACCTTGCTTGCACACTTGAGCTCTGTTTGCTCTGAGTGTGCATTTCTTTGATTCTGCCTAATAAACCTGCTTATGCCTCTCACTGACATGCCCTGAAATGCATTTCTGTGATGTGAGCAAACCTACTACTTATTCCCTGAGTGGGAAGGAGTTAAGCTCCCCTTCTTCCCTTTGGAGGATCCCCGTTGGATCCTGTCTGGTGTCATTTTCCTCCCAGTTTTTGATTATGAAAAATTCCAATTCTATAGAAAAAATTGAACGAGTGTTCCTATTACACGCATACACTCACCATCTACATATTCTAATTAACATTTTTCTAATCTTGCTTTAGCAATCTACTAGTTCACCCTTCGGTTTATTCATCAGCTCATCTGATTCCTTTGATATGTTTTTGTTTTTGTTTTGTACTGGGAATCGAACTCAGGACCTTGCACTTGTCAGGCAGGCACTTGTGCCGCTGAGCTATATCCCCTCTTGATGTGTTTTAAAGTGAAGGATTTTAAAGCAGACATACTCTTTGGCCCTAAACGTACCAGCATGCATATTGCTATCTAGAGTTCAGTGCTTACCGTTTCTTTCTGAAGTAAAATTTGCATGCAATGAAATGTGCATATCTTAAACATGCATAGACCTAATTTGGACCAGTGCACACATATATGTATTAGTAGCCCATATTAAGAGAAAGAACACTTCCATTACCCATAAAGTTATCCTTCCCAGATAATCCTCACACCCTAGTGCACACTCAAAGGCAGTTAGCAGGGTTCATGACAAGTGCATCCTGGGAGTGATCTTAATTAATTTTGCGATTGGTAGCTATAGTTAATTCATGGCTTCCTTCTATATTATGATCCCCATAATCATGCATAGCAGGGAAGTGGGGACTCTCAAGGCAGGCAGCTAGGACAATCCCCAGTGAGGCCACTGGTATCAGAATGACTAGCCATAGTACTGTTTAAATTCCTGCACCACACTAGTTCACCCATCAGACATCCTGGGTGCATGATGTAGGATGTTACTGGCTACAAGTAAAGGAAGAACAAATTCCAAACATCTCAAAAACTAAGGGCCTTTATTATTTTATAAAATATAGTTCTGCAAAGGTAAGGAGGCTCTACAGGGGTCAATGCATCAGTTAGAGTGACGCTCAGGGACTCACTCTCCTTGGCTTGTTGGCAGTGTCATTCTTCATGGTGGCAACACGGCTGCCACAGTTCCAGCCATCAGTTCCTGTAAATACAAAACGCTACAGCCTTACACTTCCTTTTGCTCAAATTGTATTCTGCTCATTTCTTTTTCATCCTTTAAGTGTTCAGATTCTCTAATTTTGTTTTTGGTACTAATGGGATTCTAGTTCTTGAAGATTATGGGCTCTTTTGAGTGTTGCTGAAAGAAATTACAGAAAGATGAGAAGAAAAATTATCTCTGTCATTGCAGCTACAGAAAACACATCTCTCAGCATCACAAAACTCTTCTTGCAAACATTATTGGTAGCTACAACAACTTTGAAGCTCATCAATACATCTTGTGAAAGGAAACTTTAACTTTCCAGAATCTGTAATTAGGATTTGCTGTCTTACTTAATAACCTATTGCCCTGGGAATAATACGGAGATTGGCCTGTACACCCTGAAAAGGATAAATATTTGTGAGGTTTTTTTCCTTTGTTAAGCCAGAAGAATGCTATTACCACCCCCTCTTCTCCCCCACAGATGGAAAAAGAAAACATATGACTGTTATAAATCTGTTGTAGACCAACAGTTTGGAAGAGTCTACTTTCATGCTAATTAATGCCTCCTCAAATTGCCACATTTGCCCTGGGAGGGAGCAAAAAGGGAGTTTCTTTCTCTTGCATTATTTTTCAAGAGCAGAAACACTCTCCCCTCCCCCAAAGCCTGGGGTGCACCAGCCCCTCGGGGATTTTCCCTCATCTGTGGTTTGTCGGAAATGTGTCACAACCCTTCTGCAAAGGCCAGTCCCTACCTAATAAGGAGACAGGAGAACTCTGGCTGGCTTCGACCTCTAGGAGGCTGAGGTTGCTTTTCCTGAGCACAAGCCAGAGTTAATAAACAGCCTAATAAAATGAGGAGGAGCAGGAGTAAAGGAAAATGGATTTGCTTATTAATTATGCAGATGCCCAGGTCCCCATGGCTGGTTCCCACTTCACTTCTGCTCTTCTCTCTCAGGCTGGGCAAGCCTCAGTACTCAGGTATCTCAGAAGTGGAGGCTCTGCAGGAGGCGTGGTTTCTGTGAGAAGGAAGTGCCTGCCCATATCCCCCCCAGAGGAGAGTTCCTGCTCATCTTTGCGGTTTTATGATTAGTCAGACTTTCTGACACAAGAGACTAAAATCCAAAACAGCTTAAGCACAAAGGGAGCATATTGATTCTCATAAATGGAAGGTCTGAGGGAGTTTGGATTTCAGGTAGGGCTGGATCCAGGTGCTGAAACAATTCCCTGAAGACTGGGCCTTTCTCAGGCTGTCCTGTCTGCTTTCTTTAATGTTAATTTAGTGTGCACACAGATCCTCTTCTCCTGGGGGCAAGGACAGGCCCCAGCAGCTCCTGCCTTCAGCACACCAGATAAGTAGCTGAGGCAAAACAGAAACTCTCTTTCCCAACCTTTCCAGCCAAAGTCCTGCGGCTGTGTCTCACCAGCTCCACCTGAGGGATGGGCTCATTGGTGGCCATGGAGGATGAGACTGGCCCTGTCCAAAGCACACAGACTTAAAAAGGGAAGCTTGATTCTAAAAGAAAAAAGGGAAAGGGAAATGAGCACGGGCTAGTCTACCTCTTACAGACAGAACACAACGCTGGGAGCCCAGTACTGTCCTGTTTTGTCAGGAGGAAAGTTACCTGTCTTGCAGGACTTCCACAGGGCTAAATTAGCTGGGCGTCTCCAAGGAGACAGCGTTGGAAGCAGAGCCTTATGGGACAAGAGTTGTCCTTTGCTCTTCCTCTTTGCTGGCACCCACAAAGGCAGAAGACCCGAAGCAAATCAGTCTCGATGGGTGAGTGGGTGTAAGTACGCATGCGTAAGTACATGACGTGTGAATGAATGAATGGGTGCCCACAGGAAGGGAGGGATGCCCCCCTCCCTCCTCAGAAGGAGCCCAGGAGCCCTGAGGTAATGAAGCTGGAGCTGGACTGTAGGCTTTGCAGGAGAGTGGCGAGGCCAGACAAGGCCTGCAAGAAGAAAGTGTGTTGGGAGAGCCCGGAGAGGCCGCAGGGGTCCGGGGTGACCACACGCGGTGCCTCCCTCCCTCTGCAGGCTGGAGCGCCTGTAGGTCCTACCCCACGCCTCCAGCCTCCGAGATCCTCCTCTCCCTCCTGCTTCATTCTCACTTCCTCTCTCTGTCCCTTAGACAAACCCAGCTCCTTCTCACCTCAGGAAGCAGCTGTCCCCAGGAACTTCTGAGGCTGGGACCCCCTCAGCGCCCAGGTCTCAGCACCGTCCCTCCTCAGAGCAGCCCTCCCTGACCGCCTTGAGTTACGAGCCCGTGCTCCAGCCCTTCCCAACCACGCCACATACTCCGCTTCTCGGAAACTGTTAGGTCTGTGGGCCTGTTATGCTCTCAGCTGTCATCACAGTGCCCAGCGCAAACCCGAGCACAGAGGAGGTGCTTGGAGGCTTTCGATCCAGCAGCTCAGCGCCCCTCAGTGCCAGGCACCTAATCCTAGCTTTGTTCTGTCTCTTTCTCCAGTGCAAGGGCGCTGTCTCAGAACAGCAGCGTCATGCGCCTCTCCTTCCTGCCCCGCATGACTCACACACTCACGCACACACGCACACACGCGCACACACACACAGAGGCACATGTATATGCACTCAGGGCACACAGCACAGGGACAAGGTTCTGCCACAGTTTAAGGAGCTCAAACAGATAGTGTGCAGAATTCTGGGCAAAAAATGAAAATTATTAGGCAGGGCGTGGTGGTGCATACCTGTAATCCCAGCACTTGGGAGGCTGAGGCAGGAGGAATATCACAGTTTCTAGGCCAGCCTGGACTACATAGTGAACTCAAGGCCAGTCTGAACTACATCACTAGACTCTGTCTCAAAAAACAAACAAGCAAGCAATCCCAAAAAGAAAATGGAAAGTTTTTATGATGCAATCAGTTCAGCCAAGTATAACCTGGAGTTGTCCCAGCGGGTCATGTCGGGGAAAGATAGAACAAAAAAGAGGTAGAAAGGAGACAAGGAAAACCAGAATTTCAAAATTGTACTTTTAAGAAAAACTACAGCTTCAAGACACCACTACCCAAGTTACAGGGCCATCTTCCCTTTCAGGAAACTCCCAAGGACAACCGCTCGATTTTTCACCCATAAATGGAGCCTGCGCCCCCTTCCACCCTCGGGGAAGCAGCTCTGTAACCAGGGATGCATAGCTCTAAGCTTTAACACACGCGAATGGCTTGCATTTTGATTTAGCCTACCAGATCGGCAGCCTAACTGACAGTAGGAATATGCGTCCTTAGGTCACCTCTCTTGATGACACCCCAAAATCACATAAAACCCCCAGCCTCAGACCGTAATGCGCCTCTCTTGATGTCCCGCAGTCTACTTTCTCTGAGTACTTTCTCTGAGTACTACTTTAACTATGCCTAATAAATCTTTCCATGATTCTCACTAATGCATCCTGCAATTCTCTTCTATGACAGAAGTCAACAAACCTACAACCTATACCCTGTGACTGGGGTGAGTTGAAGTCCCCATCTCCTCCCTGAGCTCTGCCTGGTGACAACATGACTTCACTGATGGTCTGAGTCTGGCTTCAGCCCCAGTCCCCTGCCACCCCTCACCTCAGCTACTACGGTCCCCCGCATGTGGGGAGGATGGGAGACCGCAAGCCTGTCACTAGGTGGGAGCAGGTGGATGGGAAGGACTCCCATGGCCTTTGGGCTGGGCACTCACAGCCAATGGAGAGAGACAGAGAGGAGGAAGTTCTCAGTTCTCTCAGCTGGCCTCTCTAGGAATCACCTTTTCTTAAACCCAAAGCTCAATGGTTTTTACCCTTTAGGTCCCTGGGGGATTAAGGACAGGGATTTAGAAAAGCCAGGAGAGCGGAGGATTTCCAAGTAAGGACTTGAGACACAAAATAAAGGCACTAAACTAGAAACTGTGGCTGCTGCCTACCACAGTGGTTCTGAAACTCCTTTGACTTTCAGAGGGGTTGTGGTGGTGGTGGTGATGGTGGTTGTTGTTTGAGACAGGGTCTTACTATACAGTTCAGGCAGGCCTTAAACTCACTTTGTAATACAGATGACTTCAAACTTGCAGGGATTCTCCTTCCTCAGCCTCCTGAGTGCTGGGATCACAGATGTGTGCCACCACACCTGGCTTGTAAGAGTTTTTTTATTTTTTATTTTCCTTCAGTTATGGGGATTGAACCCAGGGCCATTGCTCTGAGCTACATCTTCAGTCCTTTATTTTTTGTTTTTTATTTTGAGACAAGGTTTTGCTAAGTCACTAAATTGCCCAGGCTGGGCTTGAACCAGTGATTCTCTAGCTTCAGCCTCCCAGAGTGCTCAGATTATAAGCCTGTGCCACCATGCCCAGCAACAGTCGTTTTATATCACAACCCAGGATACACACACACACACACAGAAAAATATTCCAAAAACAGAATTGACTGGTGGCTGGAGACAAACTCTGATATTCTGAAAATTCTCTTCTATTTAATTTCATTTGAAAAAAAATTCTGGTTATGACCATCTCAACTGGTCTCATGAACAGCTAACGAGTTTGCAAGCTCTTATTATACATTAGGAGGTATGTTTTTTAACCTTTAAAAAAGATGGGCATGTTGCACCCATAGAATATTCCTGTCTTAGCTAGTTTTCTGTGACTGTAACTAAGTAGCAGAACCTGGGTAACTTATAAAGGAAATAGGCTTATCTAACTCCATGTTTAGAAGTGTAAGAGCATGGCATTGGCACCTGCACATGCCTGGAGAGGGAAAAGCAAGTCAGAGAGAGCTCACTGTTAGGACAATCCCTCTCCTAACAAAAGCCATTTATCTCCTCCTCCTAGAAAGCAGAACCCACATGGTCCAGTTGTGAGCATGTGAAAATCAAGACAAGTTATTTACTTCCAGGGCACAAAGGTGGAGCAGGCACGAGGTAGCCATCCCACTCTTCTGTGATTTGGGTACGGTTTGAGTGTGTCCTCCAAGGGACCATATGTTGAAGGCTGGGGCCCCAGTGTAGTGGCACTGAGGTGGAAGTGTTTTTAGTAGGTGGAGCACAGTGGGTCACTGGGGGTACTGCCTTCAAGGGGATTAAGTAGTGCTGGTGGGATTCCACTTAGTTCTCAAAGGAGTGAGCTGTGTCAGGCGTGGTGGCGCACGCCTGTAATCCCAGCACTTGGGAGGCTGAGGCAGGAGGATCCTTGTGAGTTCGAGACCAGCCTGGGCCACAAAGTGAGCTCAAGGCCAGCCTGAACTGCAGAGCATGATCCTGTCTCAAAAAAAGACAAACACAAAAACAAAAACAAAAACAAAGGAGTGAGCTGTTATAAAAAGAACAAGACCAGCCCCTCCCCTCACCCGAACTTCCTATCTCACTGTATGATCTGCCCTCTCACACACGCTCCTGCTATGATGATGCCATCTGCTGTGAAGCCTTCACCAGGGCTGAACAGAAGCTGGCACCACACTCTTGAACTTCCAGAACTATGGACCAAATAAACCTCTTTTCTTTATAAAGAACTGAGCCTCTGGTATTTCATTATAGTAACAAAAAAACCACAGGTAATGAACATTATAAAAGGCAGAGATGGACAATAAGAAAGGGGTCACAGGCCCTAAGCAAATCTGAAATCTAGCAGGTCAGATGTTAAAACTCAAACATCCCTGTCTGGCATGTTGAGCCCACAGAAAGGTAGGGGTACGGGCCATCAAGCCCTTGGACAGCCCTCTGCCTGTGACTGTGCTGGGTGCAGCCCATGCTTCTGCCCTCATGGGTGGCATCCTGGTGCCTGCAGCTCACCCAGGCCAGCTTTGCAGGCTGCTAGTGATCTCAAGAGCATCCCAGTCCTACAGCTGCACTCAGCATCATTTTGGGAGCAGAGGGCTCCCTGGGCAGCTCCACCCCCGTGGCAGATTCTGCTTGACCTGTGAGCTGCAGGATGCATCCTTTGTGATCTAGGTGGAAGCTTCTCTGACCCCAAGCTCTCATGCTCTGTGTTCCTGCATAATGAGGGCCACATGGCTATCATCAATGCTTGCTGTTTGCACCCTCCGGAGGGGTTGTGTGAGGCACACCTGGGCCCCCTGGAGCCACAGCACGGTGCTGCCGTAAAGCTTGGGGTAAGCTGAGCCTGGGTCTGTTTGAGCCACAGCCGGGGCAACCAAGTGCTGCGCTCGGGTATGGGGAGCAGTCCCAAGGCAGCGATGGGCAGAGCACACGGAAACCACCTCAGGCTTGTTCCCCAAACCCTCCTCCCCTCCTGGCCTCTGGACCTGTGATGGGAGCAGTGGCCACCAGATCTCTAAAATGCCGCTGAGGCCCTTATCAGCCATCCCAACACACAGCATCCACCGCCTTTTATCCACTCCAATCTCTTCAGCAAGTGGTCCCTGGGCCACACACACAGTACTCTCCCCGGAAAATGCCCTTCTAACATGTGGTCTAACTGAGAGCTTCGTGAATATTTCTGCATTGCTTTCCTTTGATTATAAATTCCACTTTTAAGTCCTTGTTCCCTTTCTCTTCTTAATGTAAGTGGTTAAAAGTAACTATATAGTTCCCTAAATGCTTGCTGTTTAGATACTTTTCCTACCAAATATTTTATTTCATTGCTTCCCCCGACCCAGGACTAGGGACTGAACCCAGGGCCTTCTCCCGGAGCAACATCCCTACCCCTTCTCCCCTCTTTCTTGAGACGGTTCTAACCAAGTCACTAAGGTGTTCAGGCCGGTCTCAAGCTTGCAGTCTTCCTGCCTCAGCCTCCCACAGTGCTGGGATTATCGGTGTGCTCCACCATATGCCTGTACCAACTGTATAGTAACTGCCAAAACCCCAGTATCAAACAATAAAAAAAGACAAAGATGGGACCTTATGGGTACGTATAATTTAAACATCCAGATACGTGTAACTTCCGGTGTGGCTGTATCCAAGGGCTCAGAAGATGATAAGAAGAGTGCCAGCTCCTTGTGCCTCGGTATTGTCCTCATTCTCAGGCTGGTTCCCCATTGCTGGGTCACAGCTGCCACCAGCAATTCCAGCTCACGGCCCCTGCCCAGCACTGCAAGGGAAAACTGTGCCACGTATTGCTGCCTGAGAAAAGATCACGCTGCAAGATTGAAAGCAGTTGCTACTCAAAGCATACTGCTCTCACATCATCAAGAAAGCACGATATTGTAGGTCAAGCCACTGTAGTGAGGCCCTGTTTGTATATGAAAAACGTTCTTGAAACAAGTATTAAAATAAAGATATTGGAACTAAGCCTGGTGGCTCGGCTCAGCTT